TACACTGAGCAAAGGCCCAGACTCAGAAAGACAAGCATCACATGCTCTTTCATATGTGGATCCCAGACTCAAATCTTTAGGCTCTTCTGTTTAGACTAGAGAAGTACAGAAACAAGAAGAGGGTTATTGGGATGAAGCATGACATAAAGCAGTGAGGACAGCAGAGCATAATGATATGAGAACTGAGAGGGTGAATGCTGAGGTCAGAAAGTTTAAACAGTGAGGAGGGATGGCCTTTTGTATGCTGTTAGTATGTTTCTCTTATTGGTTGATAAATAAAACACTGATTGGCCAGTAGCCAGGCAGCAAGTATAGGCAGGGCTACCAGACAAGGAGAATTCTGGAGAGGACCCAGAGAGAAGCTGCCAGAGAGAATCCATGTAGTTACTGGGAAGATAGGATGCCGGGCATTCTCCGGTAAGCCAAGACCATGTGGAAACACTTACACTAATAGAAATGGGTTAATAATGATGAGAGAGCTAGCCGATAAGCCTGAGCCATCGACCAAACAGTTTACAAATCATATAAGCCTCTCTTTATTTGGGTGGGACTGATGGGTGGTGGGATTAGGCAGAACAGACACCTCCATCTACAAAACAGACGGAGCAGAGGGATGGGAAAGATGAGGCGGTAGGAAGAGAGGTTTAACCCAAACTAGGATTGTATGAAAAGTCATATGGAAAACTACTATTTTGTAAGCCAATTAAAAATATAAGCTAAAATCTCTAGATTTGGAAGGGAGATAGACAGCTTGCATATCTGGAAATGCTGTTCCTGAAAGCAAATGATTGTTAAACAAAACTGCAGTGCCAGGTGAGACACTTTCTCATTCATTGTTGCTCAGGGATGCTTCACATTCCTCACAAGAATACACTCTGGTTACTCTTCTTAATTACCCACCAAAACTAGTTGATAAGACCCAGTGCTTTTTAGTAGCTAAATGCTATATAAATAACTGCAGGGAGAATAAGCTGTCTACCATTACCTTACTTTCCAGGTCTGCCTACCATTACCTTAACTTCCATTTGCCACTGGTCACACAATTGGAGGGGCAGTCCTTGTCTTCAGCTATGTAACCACAGATCAGACTACTGATCACATTGTGCCAGCTCCAAATTCTTCCATGATCACACCAATCATCCTGATTCAACTTAATGGGTCTTAACAAAGATGTGGATCAGGGAATGTGCTTGTGGGGGTGACAGGTGGCAGGTGGATTACAGCAATCAAATGCAATGTATGAAATTGTCAGATTCAATAGGTCAATTAAAAAACACTTCACTGGGTGGACCGACATTTGTATACCATTTCCCAAGGGTACCTACAATCAGAAAGCTGAAATGGCTGATTTGCGCTGTGAGGAGATAGTTTTAAGACCACCAATATAGCTGTAAATAGATGGGAACTAGAAGAGGGAGTCAGAGAGGTCTATAAATCTGTAGTGTCTAAGTCTCTTGCTAACCCCTTAGTAGTATTTGAGAGTAAAATCCATACCAAGAAGACAGAGCAGTATCCATGTCTTCATAATGGCCAAAACCAAGGTTTGAGTCTTTCCAAGTTAGCAGTGTCGGTAAAATTAGACCTTTCTATGGACCCAGAAAGCCAAACCCAGAAACTTGGTAACCATCAAGTAACTTAATTGGCCACTGTAATTATGGAATTATAAGTAAATTATAGATATCCAATTAGTGGTGGGCACTTTTATAGATATTTAAAATGTATTCATTCCTCGTTTCAAGACCGTAGTCTAAAGTTGGGTGGGAAAATAGCTTGAAGTAGAGTGGATGGAAAGAGCAGTTGGCACTCAGTTTGGACTAAGAGCATGTTGAGAGGGCACAATTTATTACAAAATACTAATCTACTTATGAATAAAATAGATATATTAAACAAATTATTTAAAAACTTTATTCTTATAAATAGATTTATTCAATGGTTTAAATGACATGAATTACAATTTGAGTCAAACACTGCAGTCTTTAATAAAATGGAAAACCTTAAAAACCACATTTAAAACATATATTCACATATTTTTAAGGATCAAACTCTTTCAAAAAGATTTAAAAAATCACAGATCATTTAAAACAACCTTTTCCAAAATAGGAGTCTTTTTGAGAAATTAAGTTTTAAGCAGCTACATCTGTATTTGATAACAAAGACCTCCCCTTCCTTGTAAATTAGCAGCACTGAAAACTTCAGCCTGCATTGTAGAGTTTGTGCTCACATAACAATCTAAAGCACTGATGGACACATGGGAAATGGAAGAGCCAGTTAGTGTGTGCCTCACTTGTCTGATCTAGAAAAGTAGATAGTCTAATTATAATTCCAGGGCATTTTGTTTTTTCTAAAATGCTACAAAAGTGAAGGTAAGTGTAGTGTCTTTTTCCCATTCCCCAAAACAACCACAAATATGAGCATGGGATTCTGCTCAAGCTGCCTATTCATAAACCTAAATATAACCAGCTACTCTGTCATATTGGGCAAATAATCTCTCTGTGTAGTTTCTCCATGTGTGTGTAGATTTAACACTAGAGAACTGAGATACAGTAAGTGAGTGAGAGGAGCATTGACAGCAGTAGCCAGTACAACTGAGTTTCCACAGCCAACACCACTACTGGAAACAATCCTAAAATCCAGGAGGTAAACAATTCCATGGCAGCGTATGTTAGGTTACATCTAGAAGACATAGTTATGAACAAACAATTTTTGTTTTTACATTTACCTTCACTTCATGTAACTTGGGAAACATTTTCAGTCACAGTATAATCAGCAGGCCCAAGGACATAGCTCAGCTGGTAGAGTACTTGCCTAGCAAGCTTAAAGTCCTATGTTTGATCCCCAGCACTGCATAAAGTAGGCCTGGTGTGGCATGCCTGTAATACCAGCAGACCAGAGGTAGAGGCAAAAGAATCAGGAGTTCAAGGTCATTCTTGGCTACATTGCAAGTTCCAGGCTAGCCTGAATTATGAGACCCTTCCTAAAATACAAACAACAATAATAAACAAAGGTGGATAATTATAAATCTTTGTGGTTCAAAACAATACAAAACTATAAAAAGTTTAATCTAGACTAATAAAAAAAAAGCTGAATTACAAGAACACTTCAAAATTGTCATCACCTGGTAAATACTTCATTAAAAATTATTACAGGCAGTAATTTCCTATTTATCACTACAGGGAAAACACTAACACATTTTTTCACTGACAAAGAAATATAAATGTATGTAAGATAAATACTGTAATACTGGTACACTGGAACATTGTATCACCTTTGGCTAGGTTGTATAATTCAAACTTGTTTCAAAAATAGGGTAACAAGAACTAAAGGTCCACTTTAATTCAGAAACAAAATCTATCAAAGGCAGAATACTTCAAGAAATACTTGAACTTATCTTACTAAGAACATAAAGATACCAGCTTCAATAAATACAGGTTTAAAACAGCAGGTTGTGAGACACCTGGCAAAGGTACTATGCCATATCGACCCTCTCAAGTCACTGAAGCTTTCCTGATGAAATGTATTAGTGAAGACGAAACTTATTTTGAGAGCTCGCTACCCCTGAAGAAACCAAGTAATTAAAAACAAAAGGTATTTTTCTTGTGAGCCAAAATCTATTTCTTGACCTTTGATTTACATTTAAAGCAATATAGAATATATAATGCTTTCGGATAACTCTAAGAAGTTACTAAGGGAGCTGTTTTTCCAAGTTAAACAGGGAGAATTTTTTTTTTTTTTTAACAATTTGTCTTGTAATGAAACCATTTAAGCACCTATCATTTATTGATGCTCCTCTAAAAAGCTTCTAACACTTTTACCAACATGTAAGTTGTATAGTAACGTACCCTAAGGGGTCTGACTAGTACACAGTAGAGACCCCGCTCCATGTTTTCTCTTAATGAACTTCGACAGCGAGGTAGAAGAGCAAAAGCTCACAGCTTTAAGCTCAATTACAAAAGAAATGGACTTAGGAGAGTCACCAGGGATGCTGGCGTTCAGCTTCTCTACCAGTCTAAAAGAAATCAGCACCTACATCATAGGAATGTGAGCGGGGTCAAGTGAAAAAGCATATAGATGGGTGGGTGGGTGATAGATCTCAGCCAGCAAAACATCAGCAGATGAAGATGACTACTCTAATTCTTTTCGTTCTTATTCATCTTGAACAGTGGTAAACACATGGTTCAAACAAATTGGACTGATCAAATTTCCAAATGCAAATTCAATGTAATATTTAATATTACATTTTTTTTAAAAAAAATACCCTAACTACCTTTGGTGTCTAAGGAAGAAAGAAATTACCACTGATCAATATCTCATTTTAAAATAATGATATTATCAGATTGCCAAATTAGCACAAAACTTACATTAGAAATAAATTCCATACATCATGGAATTTAGTGCTGGATTCATGGGTATATTAAAAATATGCCATCAGTATCTAATCTATTATGCATTTCTCAATAACATATTGCCATAGAATTCAAATACATAAAAGCACCCAAATAAAATTCCTTCCTTCCTAGAGCTATAACAGCCAAACACCAGATGTTTCTAACTGGTTGAAATTTCATGATTAAAGTATCACAAATCATCAAAACTTCTATTATAATTATTGAGATGACTTCTCATTTAAATAGTATTAAAGTCATATCCTAGTGCAGGCAACATACACACAATTAAATGTGCAAATCTGCCCTGAACACTACCAAAAATAACACTCAGAAAACAGATGGAAGAGGGGTCAGGGTGGCTCTCATTAATAAAACATAACCCTTCCTAAGATTAGGTTGATAATACAGTACTTTTCTAGGATATTTGCTACCTTCTATGCTGAAAACTCCATTCAATACAATGTACATTTACCCAACATATAACATATGTGTTTCTGAGCTTCATGGATATGTAAAGGACATGAATCCTCATTGAAATGGGTGAGACACACATCAGCTACTAACTAGAGTTCAGACATAACATTCTCATTTGTGATTAGGAATAAACAACTGTCCTTCAGCAATTGGTCTTTTTATTCTGGAACCAAAACCAAGTACAATCTACAATCTGATTTTAATCTCCTCTAGGTAAAATATTATGTACACTTGTTTTAACCATTTAAAGACGTTTTAACTGCTTCAAAGATAACAGTGATCTATATTCTTTCTATCAGAATAGTTCTGAACTGGGCCTAACTTATATGTTCACTCTTCAGGAATGCTACATTAAAGCTATGGATCCCTTCTCTTCTCTCTAGACAATTATAATGAGCATAATGGCAAGTCAGGTAAGTTCACACTAGAAATACATTATATCCTAAGCTATTCACTAGAAATAAATTACATTAGTTTATAGTGGGTATAACAGTATAAACAGAGAACAATAATTCCTCTTGTGATATTATGCGCTAGAACATATTATGTAAAGAACACTATTTCCACATCATTTAGTGAGACACAGCCATAAAAGAAGCACCATGGAAAGCTTAAATGTGAGCAAAATACATAACATACAAACCCTTATTAATATATCTGAAAATGATAGTTTATGCCTATGGATTTTCCCATAAAGTAGAACTGGTTAAACTGATTACAGAGCCTATGATCCCCTCAAGGCGGAGTTGAAAGGGGTTGTGTGCTGTCGTACATAGGGGCTAGGAACCACACTAGGGTCTCCTGCAAGGGTGGCTCATGCTTTTAACCACTGAGCTCCTTTATAATCACTTATTCATCAACAAATTCAATTAAATCTAATAAAAATAAAAATACTTGAAATTCTTGACAAAGTTTAAAACTTTTTCAGAAATATAATTTATAATATTTGTAAAAGCAAGGCTTTTTCCAAGTGAAATGATTTCCCAGAGATGAGTCTGCTAATTTTGAACAAGCAAAGGTGACACCTGCTGTATGAACCTTATTTCTCTTACATACTCATTTAGTGACAAAGATTGAGAAATTCACCAGCAAATGACCATCTTCTTGTCAACTTCCCAGGAAAATTTAACCAAGCATCTACCTTATAAAGCATCAATATATATCCATTTTTAAATCATAGTGAAAAATAAATAGCACCTTTTAATTCATGGCATTTCGTTTTGAAATGCCAAGTCCTACTGTCAATACTTCATGGAAAGTGGTGCAGACTACCCCTTTCTCTCCCTGTAGACCTCTACAATGTCTCCTAATTCAGAAGTGACTCAACACTTACAACCAAAAGATGGATTCTAAAAGCAGTCTCCTTCCACGTGTGGGACAAAGTGCTTCCTCCCTCCCCTCAGTGTTCCTAGATGTAAAAGGCCTGGCCTAAAGGCAGCAGACAGTGTAGTTGCTTTACTCAACCACATGTGTTTGCAATTTCAGCTTCCTGGACTTAGTTCTCTATCATAATGAACCATCGTGAAAGCAGAAATGGAGTGTACGTTCTGATCCAATTACAATGCAGTGTTACAGCTGAGTCACTTACCTTCTAGTGTCAAGCAAAGCAATGGTCTATCCTGACCAACCACTCAAGACTACATGTATAACTTTATGCAAATAGTTTTTAAACTTGTATACAAATTTACTACATTCTTAAAACTCAAAGAAAACATAATCCAACAACAAAAGCAAAGTTTTTGGTCTGTGTGTGTGTGTGTGTGTGTGTGTGTGTGTGTGTGTGTAGATGTGTAAAACTCAGAAAGAAAAATGGGCTAAAAAGTAATCTCTATTCACAGTTCTGTGTTTACAGTCAGATCACACAACTAATCAACAGTGTGTGTCTGTAATGGAGTGACAGTTGAAAGAATAAACCTTCATGAATAAAATGAATTTGTTAATTCATTTTATTAAAAAGAATAAACAGTAAGCACAGAACCAAAAGACAAAAAACAAACAAACAAACAACAAACAAAAAAATCCCAGAGTCATACTCAGTAGTGTTCCCTAATTATTAAATAAAGCTAAACCAATAACTTCTCACCTCTAAGTTCTTCTGGTTTAATTGGAAAAGAGGGACAAATGTAAATTATATGTATTCTGACGTTTTGTTTGTTTGTTTGTTTGTTTTTGGTCACTTAGTTAAAGACAAACTTTTACTTAAAAGCTCTCAGCAAGGACATCTCCTAAAAAGTTATTACATCCCCCCCTACTCCCTCACAAAATGATGTTTACCTGGAACCGTGAATGGGACCTTACTTGGGAAAGTTTTACAGATATAACCAAGAGTCCCAGATAAAGTTACCCTGAATCAGAGGATCCCTAAATCCAAAGGCATTGTCTGTACAAGAAGACAGTGGAGACAACCCTACACAGACACAGACAGACTGGAGGGACCTGTCCAAATACCAGGCTACCAAACTATTAAGTTGTTGGAGTGAGCTGGGCTGGGACAGTAGACTTCCGTCTCCTGAAGGAATGAACTCTGGTAACACTGTGAGTCTAGGTGCTGCTGCCTCTAAGTATGTGAGGGAAAGGTTTAAGCCACAAGGTTTGTGGTCATTTTTGTACAAGAGCCCTAGGTAACTAATAGAACAATGTATTTCGGAAAAATCATTTGTAAAAGGTGTTATAATTAACACAGTTTATCTTTGGTCTGTATAAACATCAAATTAGGAATTAGTTCAAATGGCTTTATCACTTCTGCATTTTAAATTTAAAAATGTGATTCCTAGATAAACATTTCAAAGACTCTAGTTCATGATTTGCTTTGTCTATAAATCCATTCTAATTTAAGACCAGAGTTATATTTATTGCAATAGTTGTCCACTTGGAAATACTGCTGGGTCACTAGTTTTCAAATTCTTTGACATTCTGTAAAATCACCAAATTGGTTCTAGTGCTTCGGAGCTTACCCAGTCCCCTCAACATGTACACACACAGGAAAGTCCCCAAACCTCGGAGACACAGGCAGTACCAGTGCTTCTCCAGACAACTGTAAGCAATTTTATGACTATTATTCAGGGTTTCAGGCTAGTCTCAAACTTAATGCTTTTCATACAACTTCCCTGAATTTACCTAAAAAGAATTCCACTTCTACTTACCCCATTATTTGTTGTAGAAATAGAACTTTTTAAAATTCAAAATATTCCTGCCATTACCACATAAACCTTTGAACATCCTGATTATCTGGCCATTGAAAAGTCTTGTTCAGGAAGATATAAAAAGTTAGAAAATTAACAACTGTATAGCAACCCAGTTCACAAACAAGTCTAGATATAGGTGGCAGAGGTATGTTGAGCCTATAAATAATGTAGGGTAAAATGAAGTAACGGAATTCTAGTAGTTTCTGAGGAACTGTAGAAGTGACCAAGCATACAAGAAACATTAAATTCCAGAAAATTGACTTTGATTTCAGAGAGTCAGCTATGGTCCAACCAGCAAACATGTAGGCTGGAACTAATAAATATTTCACAACTTCATGTCTCTGAAATACTCTTTTCCACACGTAAAATGTGTAATGTCTATTGTCTGCCAGTAAATACTTATGGACGTAAGTGAATTTCCAAACCAAAAATACTGAGACTAACATAATCACAGAGAACTGAACTCTACGTTTCCAAATTAAACTAAAAAAAGTCTTGACTTTTGTAGGAGAAAGTAGGTGAGGGAAGGAGAAAAAAACAGTAAACGAGAAAAAGTAGAATAACTGGGGAAAATGAAAACAGGCTTCATGACTACTCCGATCACCAATAACAATCCCACCATTGACTATCACAAAAACAAAAAATGCAACCAGCAGAAGGATGTAGGGCCAGGTCAACAGGAAAAGCATACTCAGGTTCTTGAATGACATGGAATACACCAGGAGAAACTGAAGAACTCTTCTGAGTTCTGAAAATGGTCCCTTAATGGAGGGAAGCCTCTCTTCCTTCTTCTTTTGCAGCTCAGTTTTCCAGGCTTCACTGAACTTCTGTGCAATGATGTGTCCCGCACAGAAGGCAGCCCAGATGATATTGGTCTGACGAAACATGAAGCCACAAAACCCAAGCAAGGCTGAAGTCCTATGATTGCCATAAAGACACATCAAGTAAGCAAAAAGAGTGAAGAACACAGACCCAGGTTCTGTATAATAAAGGAAGTTAAAGAAATAGAGGGTCGGAAATAGTGCCAGGGTTAATGTTGACAAGATTCTCTGGATACTTGAAGAAGCCTTGAAAGAAAAAGAAAAAATTACTCTTAGGCAAAATAAATATGCCATTTCTGCTGAATCAATGAAGAGATAAATTTAAAAACTCACCTAAGTTTAACTCAAATGAATCATATTTCTAGCTTTGCAACACCATATATAAGAATACTTCTGGTAATTTTTAGTTACATTAATCAGCTTGGAAAACATTAAAATACTAATGAGGAGCAAAAAGGGGATGACATGGGGGTGGGGTGGGAACTTGGGAGGATAGGAAGGAGAGGGAACTGGGAATGATATGTAAATTAAGATTGTTTCTAATTAAATTAAAAAACTATATTTAAAAACAAACTCTTAAGAGCTTAAAATCTTTTGAATCACTGAACAAATCACTTAGGGGGTCACTGGATGTAAGACCCTGGGCTAAGGTGCATGGGGATACAGAGAGATGAACAGAACACAATAAAGATGCACACAGCTATGATACCTTGAACTTAGGTCTTAGCCAATCTCACCTAACACTTAAAGGATAGCCCTTCAAATTTTTACACTAGAGATGACTGAAATGTGCAAATAGTGTTAATTACCCTGCCCAATGATCTTACTTTTTTGTATAATGAAATCATAAGGATTTTTTTCCATAAAAAAAGAAAAAAAAAATTTAGGGCTACTCTAAACTCAAATGTCTTCTTTTAGCTTTTTTGACAATTTCAGAACATGATTGTTCTGAATCTCTTTGAACTGTATCCTCACTTAACTCTATCACACAAAGTCAGACCATGCCAATCCTTTGATTAAAGTCCTCCTCAGGTATGGTGACACACAACTTTAATCTCAGAACTTGCAAAGCAGAGGCAGGTGAAGTTCTGTGAGTTCTAAGACACCCAGACCTGCACTGAGAGTTTGAGGCCAGCCAGGGCTACACAGTGAGACCCTGTCTCAATAAATAAATAGACAAAGTTATATAATAGCCTGTAAATTTGGCACATATATGATACATCTTGTTGCCTCCGAAAATTTTGTGTATTGTAAACAGTTTTATATAAAATACTAAATAGTGGAAATTGTAATTTACAATCATATAATTAAAACTATTAAAGGAGAAAATTGTAAAAATCAAAGTACTCTGTCACAGGTAAATACATTTATGGCTTCACCCCTGCTTCTCATCACTGAAATTCATAGCCATATATTTTTAAGCAGTAATCCCCTTTGCTGATACTGCTTTGGTCAAGATTACCCTCATATCTCTCGTTATTCATTCATTAAGCTTCAACACAGGTGTAATTTATGAAGCCTTCAAAAAACCCACTCTTTCCTCCTTCATTCCATCAGGCTGCAACAGTATTTCTCTGTTCCTATCATTTATCCTTACCCTTTTTTCATAATTTATACTGATGAAAAGACCCTACTAAACATTGCTGTCATAGTTAACATTTATTAAAACCTTATACTAGGTACTAGCCTAAATATAAATGGAAGTATAAACTTCCACTTATTAATAAGCTCCTTTACTCTTAATACACGAAGTCAATGAGGCAAAATATACTATTACTACTGATATTTCATTTATATTATTTCAAATAGATAAAGACATAAAACCACGAAAGGGTAATTTGCTCATGTTAATATAAATAGTGGCCAGGACTGAATTTAAACCCAGGCAATCTACCTCCAAGACTTGCATTATTAAATCACATCAAACTCCCTCAGCTAAATTTCATTTCCACTAAAGAGATCTAATTTTCTAAAACAAACCCATACAATTACTAAACTGGTTTAGTTCAGATTTTCAAATAAAGTTATTCCCGTACTGAAATATAAATCCCTTATACATATAAGTAGAGAACTTGCATTTAGCTTTATAAACCATACACAAAAACTAACTGTTGGACATTTTCCTCCATATCTTATAAAACCAATTCATAATTGTGGACTTGACTGCACAGAAACTTGCAATAACTTTATTTGTACATACCTTGTTTCTGGGCTGTATCTTTCTGAAAAGCAAATACAGCAAATAGAAGTTGCCAACACTGAAGAGAAGATTGACAAATCTGAGCATTCCAATGGAACAGACAATATGTTCAGACCATCCAAGGATCCAGTTGGCAGGTTTGACAACTCCTACTGACACCAGGTACAGGCCAGGTAATGTAGTAATCATAGGATCCCACTTCAAAAGAAAAGACCAACAGTGACGTAGAAGCAATAATGACTCCATTGATACAAATGTGTCAAAAACCAGTTTTTATTTGTTCCAATAATGAGGAATTTGGAGAGAATATTCTATGACATAATTAAATAAATCCTGGCAGACTAGATGTCTTTTTAATTTTTATTTTTAAGATTTAGTGTGTGTGCCCACATCTGAGTATATGTATGTGCAACACTCGCATGCAGGTGCCTGTGGAAGACAGAGGAGAGCACTGAATCCTCTGAAACTGGAGTTTCAGATGGTTTGTGAGCAGGGCAATGTGGTGAAGGCAAGTCTGGTCTTCAGCGAGGACTGCAAGAGCTCTCAACCACTGGGCCACTGCTCCAAAATGGTTTTAAGAAATCATTTTGTTTGCAGTTACTAAGGTATCAACAACCAACAGACCATAAGTGGTAATTTGTTTCTATTTTCCAAGGCTTCTGTTTAGAAAACATGAACCTTGTGACCAAATTGCACAGGCCCCGAGTTGGACTCTGGTGGATCTTAAGGTACTGAAGTATTTCAGAAGACCACAGTACAGGATTTCTAATCACAAAACCTGTCAATTTGGGACTTGATCTTAGCTGTTTTACATCTTGCAGAACTATTGTATTAGAGACTGTAATTACTATTATTTTACAGGTTAGTGATCCTTAAAATGGCAAAAGTTATGAGTAACAGCACCAAGAAATCAGGTTTTTCTTCAACAGACTTTATATTTTGAAGCAGTAACCCATACTGTGTTCATAAGAGAAGGGATGGTATGTTTATCTTTGTATTATGCTATTTATGTAATCAAACACATATTTTTTTAAATGACTAGTTGCCAATATATCCACACAACAGCAAGTTTCTAAGAACATCCACGGATGAAGTTAGAATGAAACTATCACTTTTTGGGGGCCTAAGAGCCTCCATTCCGCGTCCAAAATACTGAGTGGAATACCTCATAGTTAAGATTTGGGTGTTTTTTGTTGTTGCTGCTGTTGTTCTTTACTGCTTTTTCAAGGGACACCTGCAAGCCTCTAGTCCTGGGACTTAGGAAGGCAAATCCAAGAGGAAGTGTAATTTGGTGTCCTTATTTCTCGCCATCACCTAACAAATATGTCAGAGATCTGCAGGGTAGGTAACGTCAGCCACTGCCCAGTTCCTTTCAAGTTCTGAGTCTGGGAGGGCAGACAGGGAAAGAAAGGTAAGGACACACACAGCAACGTTGGGAGGTGTCCGTCCCGGGGCAGGGCCAGCAGGGACCAACCTGCGACAGGGAGAAGCGGCCCTCACAGTAGCGCTGCGCCTGCGGCAGGTGGAAGATCTCGTCCATGTAGGGCTCGCGCAGGGCACGGCTGAAGGCGGAGAAGAGCAGGCAGGACACCAGGAAGGTGCAGCTCAAGGCGGCCGAGAAGTAGTAGCCCTCCAGCTGTGCCATGTCGCACAGCCGTGTCCCGGGCTCAGCCCCGGGCAGGATCGCGCTCAAAATCCAGCGCGCAAGGGCGGCCAGACGAGGTACGGCAGGGCCGGCACGCAGGGGATGCTGGGAGAGCGTTGGCCTTCCGGAAGCATAAGGTGGCCGCTATTTCCGGAATGGAGCATTTAGGCAAGGCAGCGGACGGTTGTCCTGTCAATCACTCTCTCGGAGCTCTCAGAGTGGCCAGAGCCTGAACCGGGCGGGTCTAGGCTCGGCGCGGGAACGCTGCCTGGAAGCTCTGGAAAGACGGGCTTCTTGCGCCCTCTGTTGCTCTGCAGAAGGCGACGAGCGTTCCCCGCTTTCCAAGCTCCCAGTCTGCGTTTGTTTCCATTTATTGCTGTTCCCCATTGCCAGTGAGGTGAATTGCTAGAAACCTTCATTACAACCCGTGTCATCCTGTCGTCTCTGGCGGGCTTGAAGATTGACGCTTTCCGATTGATACATAATTTAATTCCAATTATTTCTAATAGTAGAGGGGTGGATAGTAGTGCGCCCAGTTTTTAGGAACTTTCCATAAATTGACTGAATTAGCTGTGACTCAAAGGAAGAACTAAATTGACGATTCCAAGGTTTACAATTTAAGACAAATCTCAGCGGCTTTGTGACCCGTGCCTGTCAAAAGCGACGTGAGATTAGTAGAAGTCTTTTCCTACAAAACACCACCAAACACACTCAAAACATACTTTATCTTCAGCTTTTTTCAAGAATCTTTCTTCTCAATCTTCAGTCTCAACTCCAACCTACAACTTTACTCATGTTTATACCATTTTGAGACGATACACATAAGTACTCTATAGATCCACATTAAGTATCTTTCTCTTTGTGTGTCGTGTGTGTCTCTGTGTGCGTGTGTGTGTGTGTATCTCCTTATGGCAAGTGACCTTTTCTTTATGTGCTGAATACCCCTAGATGATAGGTAACATTGTTTGTGTTTTGAGACAGTTTCTCTATGTAGTCCTGGCTGTCCTGGAACTCTTTCTGTAGACCCAGTTGGCCTCCAACTCAGAGATCTGCCAGTCTGTGCCTGGATCAGCTGATAAGTAACATGTTTTGATAAACTCTAAACATTTTCCTAAATTCTACCCCTAAATCAAGACATCCCATTAAAATAGTGACTATTGGCATTTTAATGAGGTATATTATATTCCCTTAGACCTATTTTTAGAAACTGAATCATTTATTTATAGATGTTGAATTTTCTTTTCTTCTTCTTCTTTTTTTTTTTTTTTTTTTGAGCCAGGGTTTTTCTGTGCCTTTGGAGGCTATCCTGGAACTCGCTCTGGAGGCCAGGCTGGTCTCGAACTCACAGAGATCCACCTGACTCTGCCTCCCAAGTGGTGGGATTAAAGGCGTGTGCCACCAATGCCCGGCTAGATGTTGATTTTTTAAAAAGAACAGTCATCAATAAGGTGATGAATTCCATCACTGAGTGTCAAATTATTTGAGGCTTGTTACTTAAATTATGGCATTTGGTATTGTGGGAAAATGAGTAATTTTTGTTGAGTTCTAAAGATAGATACTGTTAGCAAAGAAGTAAACCTTTGGCTGAAACAGTTGAGTTTTTTTACATTTATCACTGCCATATGAATTTATGCATCTTTATTAAGACAGTCTTAGTTTAGTGAACAAAACATGTGCTTGTGAGTGATACAGTTATTTCTGAATAAGGGTTCCCCCAAATACTAGTAAGTAAAAAATATATGTAAGTGCCCCCTTACACTGAAGTATTGTCAAATGCTTCAGGATAGACATCCTGCCCTACTATCCTTTTTTACTTATTGCTGAATCAAACTTTGGCTACTTGATAATAACACTGCTGTTCAACTTAGTGAAGTGACAGCTGGTTCCAGCCACAGCAAGGACTACAACCTGAGCCAATATCCTGCACAGTAGCCTCTGAAATGCAATTTCAGACTTAAAATGTATCTTTGGTTGATGTGTAATCACTGGGAAAATAAGCCAACAGAAAGTTTTAAATAAAAGGAACCATGCACAAAATTTCCATTAAAAATGTTGTAGGGCTCCCACCAGAGAAGACCACTCAGACTTGGTCTATTGAAAGTCTTTGTTCCAGCCAGCTGGTTGCTATGCCTAGGTATTCAGAACGTAAATGCTGTCCTGAACCTTTCTTAACCCATATTTAAGTAAGAAAACCACATCCTGACTGGAAAGTTTGAAAGAAAAGCCTGTCCTCCCTGCCCATAGGCTCATAGGGAGTAGCACTATTAAGAGCTGTGGTGGCCTTGTTGAAGTAGGTGTGACTTTGTTGAAGGAAGTGTGTCACTGGGGACAGGCTTTGAGGTCTCAGATGCTCAAGCCAGGCTCAGTGTGGCTTTTTCTTCCTGCTGCCTGTCCATCTATATGTAGGCAACTCCTTCTCCAACACCCTCTCCGCCTATGTGTACTGCCATGCTCCCACCATGACAATAATGGACTAAACCTCTGAAGCTGTAAGCCATCCTTAATTAAATGTTTTCCTTTATCAGAGTTGCCGTGACCACAGCAATAAAACCCTAACTAAGACAGAAGTCCTCAAGGTTCCCTTCTTGCAGCTTCAATCTAAGAAGATAGTCACAGAAGCCAAAATGTGCCATTAGTAAAAACAGTAAGGTCAGGATGGCCATTGCAAAGAGTTAATATCCTTGAGTTGTTTTTCTTCACAGAATTGTTTTTCTTAGGTTCCCCCTTCCAGGTACTAGCACTCAGTAAGACAAAAGTTCATCCAAGGTACCAAAAGAAAGTCACCATAGGTAACTTACAGCCCGTGTCACAAAAAAAAAGTATTAGCAAGTAAGTATTTAACTGAAAATATTGAAGATATGTGAGGGGACAAATCTCCCTGCTCTTCTGAAACTGTTTCAGTTCTGGCCCACAGCATCTCAAATAAACATCAATGTCCAGTCATCTAGAAAGTTACACTATCCATCTATCTGCTCAGCAAAATTGGTAAGCTCTAGATCAGTGGTTCTCAACCTGAGGGTCAAATGACCCTTTGACAGAGGTTGCCTAAGACCATCGGAAAACACAGATATTTACATAATGATTCATCACAGCAGCGAAATTACAGTTATGAAGTAGCAATGAAAATCATTTTATGGTTGGGGTCACCATAGCATGAGGAACTGTATTAAACGATTGCAGCATTGGAAAAGTTGAGAACCGCTGCTTTACATCATTTTGAGACCCTGTCTCCTTAAGGTGGAGAGCGGTATGGTGTAATCAATGCCTGGCCTCCACAAGCAGGCACATATGCACGCATACACACCTGTGTACAATGACACATGCACATGAATACAACACTGCACACACATCAATTATGACTGCCTTAGATTGCACCTGAACCCAGTGCATATGAATTTCCATAGCACTTCTTGCTTTTCTGATGTCCATGACGCCTTGTTTCCTCTGATAGTCTCGTTTGTGTTTGTTCCTGTCCCTTCAGGTGAAAGAATGAGTCTTTCCTGGTTCTTTGTCTTCGGGTTCTCCCCTACCACAAAACCAAGTGCATTGCCAATACTCGTACTTACTCAGCAAGAAGTGAGAGAGTTGGACTTCAAATACAATTTAGTATTTTTGACCACATACCTTCAAATTTAGATTTTTTTTCTCTTGGAAGATTTCTATATGGAGAGAAACTGCTTTTTTCATGCTATTGCTGCCTATAGGTGAGGAACATCCACAAAACAGAAACTTCATGAAGTTTTGGGTTTTGTTTGCATTTAATTGATTTATAACTTCATAAAGAATGCATCTTGAGCTGGTTATTAAATGAATCTGACAACCATGGTGGTGAAGTTTCAGAGTAATTTAAACTCCAATGTGAGAAATGAGATTTGACAATGACCTAATTTTAATTTACAGACAACTTATATTTTAACTGTCACTATGATATTGTCCAACTTGAAAAATCTCAGAGTTAGAACTGAATTTTGTCATTCCAATTTAAAACTGAAAAGCTAGATTTCAGCCAAATTGATGTATAAATGGAGGTGGGGTAGGCGGATTTATCTTTTTGGTTTTAGAAGCAGAGGAAATAGGCAGGCATCTTTACATCTAGTGATTTGGTGCCGGGTGCTGGGTTAAAAGATTGGAGCACGCCGGGTGGGCATTGGTGGCGCACGCCTTTAATCCCAGCACTGGAGGCAGAGGCAGACAGATCTCTGTGAGTTCGAGGCCAGCCCGGTCTCCGGAGCAAGTGCCAGGATAGGCTCCAAAGCTACACACAGAAACCCTGTCTCGGAAAAAAAAAAAAAAAAAAAAAAAAAAAAAAAAAAAAAAAAGATTGGAGCACATTTATTCTGTAGCTATTTTCATGTTTTGGATTTTAGTAAAAAGCAGAGATAACATGAGTTTCATTAATGAAAGTTAACCAGATACCTAGAGCAAATTTCCTTACAGAGCAGAGAAAGCCCACAGTAGAGGAATTCCCTGGTCCTTTCTTTGTATGCTTTCTATTCCTCTTCTGAATAAGATGCCAGACTACATTAAATAATTTACATTTATTTAATATAATAAAGTGAAATACTCTGCTGTTTATTACTGTCTCAAAATGGTAGTTTCTATAAGTATCAAGTTTCAGGGATTAATTCAAAGTTTGAGAAACATCTATCCCATTGAGTGGTTGTGATAATACTTATTTCCACTAGAGGGTGCTGATTACTTCAGTGGAATCTGGACCAGTTTATTGCCTTTCCAGTTATGTATTAGTCCTACATGATGATAGAAAATCAGATATCCACCTAATACGGCTGTCATTCAGGGTGGCTCTGTTAATTAGCTTTTGGAGTTCATAGTTATTAACAATAATTACTCACTATTATTTATTGTTTTCTATATTATGTTTTCTATGTCTTATTAGCAGGCCAAATGTTTTGGAAACAGCAGAGAGACTCGAGAATCTGACAGAGAGACAAATATGCATGGGTGTGATTGACTAGCTGCCCCTAGGAATGAATAGAGAACACTGGATACTTTCCTGGACCCATCAATCACATGAAGTAAAATTCTTATCTCTGGGGAAGGTGGGCTTTTATCCCAGGATTCAGGCAGAGATCCTTTAGGAGGGAGAGAGAAGAGA